TGAAAATGGGCATCCCTGTCTGGTGTCATATCAGACCTCTGGGGGATTGCTTCTAACTTTTCCCATTCAAAATGATGCTGGCCATGGGTTTGTCATAAATTGCCTTGATTATTTTGAGGAATGTTCTTTCTATATCCAAAATGCTTAGAGTTTTCATCATGACAGGGTGTTGCACTTTATCAAATCCTTTCTCTCTATCTATTGAGATAATCATATGGTTTTTCTTCTGCCATTTGTTAATGTGGTGTATCACATTGATTTATTTGTGAATGTTGAACATCCCTACATACCAGGGATAAATCCCACTTGGTCTGGTTGGCTGATGTGTTTTTGGACTCTATTGGCTAAAATTTTGTTGAATTTTAGAGTCTGTTCATCAGGCAAATTTGTCTGTAAATCTCTTTCTCTGTTGCATCTTTTTCAGGTTTAGGAATTAAGGTGATGGTGGCTTCATAGAAAGAATTTGGGAGGATTCCCTCTCTTTCAAATCTTTTGAATAACTTGAGAATAATTGGAAATAGTTCTTTAAATGTCTGGTAGAATTCAATAGTGAATCCATCTAATCATGGGCTTTTCTTCGTTGGAAGGGCCTTTACTACTGATTCAATTTCTGTCTCAGTTATGGGTCTGTTTAGGTTTTCTATGTCTTCATTGCTCAATTTAGATCAGGTGTATGTGTCCAGAAATCTATCCATTTCTGCTAGGTTTCCCAGTTTGTTGGCATACAACTCTTTGTAGTAATTTCTGATGATTCTTTTTATTTCTGTTAAGTCTGTTGTTACATTACCTTTTTCATATCTGATTTTATTTTTTTATTTTTTAACTTTTATTTAATAAATATAAATTTCCAAAGTAGTTTATGGATTGAAATGGCTTCCCCCCATAACTTCCTTCCCACCCACACCCTCACATCTCCTGCTCCCTCTCCAATTCCATTCACATCAAGATTCATTTTCAATTATCTTTATATACATAAGATCAATTTAGTATAAATTAAGTAAAGATTTCAACAGTTTGCATTATAGCTTTAATTCACATTGTACAACACATTAATGACAGAGATCCTACATGAGGAGTAGGTGCACAGTGACTCCTGTTGTTGACTTAGCAAATTGACACTCTTGTTTATGGGGTCAGTAACCACCCTAGGCTCTTTTTTATTTATTTATTTTTGACAGGCAGAGGGGACAGTGAGAGAGAGAGAAACAGAGAGAAAAGTCTTCCTTTTCCATTGGTTTACCCCCCAGTGGCTGCTGTGGTCAGTGCACTGTGACCGGCGCACTGCACTGATCCGAAGCCAGGAACCAGGAGCCAGGAGCCAGGTGCTTCTGTTGGTCTCCCATGCAGGTGCAGGCCCCAAGGACTTGGGCCATCCTCCATTGTACTCCTGGGTCACAGCATAGAGCTGGACTGGAAGAGGAGCAACCAGGACAGAATCCGGCACCCTGACCGGGACTAGAACCCGGGGTGCCAGTGCCACAGGCCTATTTTTTTTTAACTTTTATTTAATGAATATAAATTTCCAAAGTACTGCTTATGGATTACAATGGCTTCCCCCCCATACCGTCCCTCCCACCCACAACCCTCCCCTTTCACACTCCCTCTCCCCTTCCATTCACATCAAGACTCATTTTCGATTATCTTAATATACAGAAGATCAGCTTAGTATACATTAAGTAAGGATTTCAACAGTTTGCTCCCACACAGAAACATAAAGTGAAAAATAATAGATGATTTTTTTAAATGATGATGAAATCAGATCAGACCTATGGTCATGTTTAATCCCAGTGAGAGTCAAGTTGGGAATTGATAATTTCTTTTTTTTTTTTACAGAATATCAGTTTAGTATGCATTAAGTAAAGATTTCAACAGTTTGCACCCCCATAGAAACACAAAGTGAAATATATTGTTTGAGTACTCGTTATAGCATTAAATCTCAATGTACAGCACATTAAGGACAGAGATCCTACATGAGGAGTAAGTGCACAGTGACTCCTGTTGTTGACTTTACCAATTGACACTCCTGTCTATGGCATCAGTAGTCTCCCTATGCTCCAGTCATGAGTTTCCAAGGCTATGGAAGCCCTCTGAGTTCTGCGACTCTTATCTTGTTTAGACAAGGTCATAGTCAAAGTGGAGGTTCTCTCCTCCCTTCAGAGAAAGGTACCTCCTTCTTTGAAGACCTGTTCTTTCCACTGGGATCTCACTCACAGAGATCTTTTGCCAGAGTGTCTTGTCTTTCCATGCCTGAAATACTCTCATGGGCTTTTCAGCCAGATCCGAATGCCTTTAGGGCTGATTCTGAGGCCAGAGTGCTATTTAGGACATCTGCCATTCTATGAGTCTGCTGAGTATCTCGCTTCCCATGTTGGATCACTCTCCCCTTTATTTATTCTATTGGTTAGTATTAGCAGGTACTAGACTTGTTTATGTGCTCCCTTTGACTCTTAGTCCTTTCATTATGATCAATTGTGAACTGAAATTGATCACTTGGACTAGTGAGATGGCTTTGGTACATGCCACCTTGATGGGATTGAATTGGAATCCCCTGGTATGTTTCTAACTCTACCATTTGGGGCAAGTCAGCTTGAGCATGTCCCAAATTATACATCTCTTCCCTCTCTTATTCCCACTCTTATGTTTAACAGGGATCACATTTCAGTTAATTTTCAACACTTAATCCACGGCGCCAGCCACCACCCTAGGCTCTTGTCATGAGTTGCCAAGGCTATGGAGGCATTTTGAGTTCGCCAACTCCGATCTTATTTAGACAAGGTCATAGTCAAAGTGGAAGTTCTCTCCAAAAGTGGAAGTTCTCTCCTCCCTTCAGAGAAAGGTACCTCCTTTTTGGATGGTCCATTCTTTCCACTGGGATCTCACTCGCAGAGATCTTTTATTTAGGTTTTTTTTTTTTTTGCCAGAGTGTCTTGGCTTTCCATGCCTAAGTTACTCTCATGGGCTCTTCAGCCAGATCCGAATGCCTTAAGGGCTGATTCTGAGGCCAGAGTGCTGTTTAGGACATCTGCCATTCTATGAGTCTGCTATGTATCCCACTTCCCATGTTGAATCATTCTCTCCTTGTTAATTCTATCAGATAGTATTAGCAGATATTAGTCTTGTTTATGTGATCCCTTTGACTCTTAGACCTATCATTATGATCAATTGTGAACTGAAATTGATCACTTGGACTAGTGAGAAGGCATTGGTACATGCCACCTAGATGGGATTGAATTGGAATCCCCTGGCACATTTCTAACTCTTTCCCTCATGGGGCTTCAATGCTTGTTCCCTCTAGGCTCTTCCTGCTGCTCTTTTGCCATTGGCTTGGGCTGCTGTGGTCTAGTCTCACCTCACTTTCCAGTGCTGGCTCTCAGCTATAGGAGTTCCAAGCCGTGGGTGCCCACGCCCTCCACGTTGGTCCACCTTGTCCCTCTAATTTCAGTAGAGTTTCCTCTGTCATTTCCGCCACTAACTCTTCCCTGAGACTACACTATCTCTACTTTTTAAAACTATCTTCTTCTTGGCTAGAGCAATAAGTTCCCTCCATATTCCACCATCTTGGAAACTACTCAGATTCATTTTTATAAGAAATATTAAAAACTTGTTTCTGTTTTTTTTTGTGAGATACCCCCTTTGTATTTCAGGTAGCTTTTCATAATTGTGATTTCTTTTTAAAATTTTTTATTTATATATCCAAAAATTCATATTTTAATTTCATTATACTATACAGGATTGATTTACAGATTTACTTTTATTTGAAAGGCAGAGCCACAGAGAGAAAGGGAGAGACATAGACATAGAGAGATATCTACCATCTGCTGGTTCACTCCTCAAATGGAAGCAATAGTCCAGACTGTGCCAGGCCAAAGTCAGGATCCTAGAATTTCTTCCAGGCCTCCCACAGAGGTACAGAAATCCAAGCACTTGGGCCACACTCTGCTGCTTTCTGAGGTAAATTACCAGGAAGCTGGGTTCAAATTTGAGCATCTAGGTCTCCAATCAGTGACCATATGTAATGCCAGCATGGCAGGTGGTGGCTTGACCCACTATGCCACAATGCTTGCCCCTCATCTACAGATTTAATGTAATCCTATATAAAACCTGATCAGAGTATTCCTACATTCCAGAAATCAATTGGAATTGACAAGTCAATTCTAGAAATTTATGTGACAGAGAAAATGGTCAAAAATTGTCCAGGAGCAGGCATTTAGTCTAGCAGTTAAGATGCCTGCCATCATATCAGATTATATTGGTTCCATTCTTGCTGTAGCTTGTGATTGCAGCTTCCTGATAATGCAGACCCTGGGAGGCAGTGGTGATGTCTCAAACAATTTTGTTCCTACTAAATCAAGTATGTGGGAGATTTCAATGGTGTTCTCAGGTCCTGGTTTTTTTTTTTGGCTCTGGCTGTTGTGGGCATTTGGTGAGTGAACCAGTGAATGGTCTGTGAGCGCTCTCTCTCTCTCTCTCTCCCCCTTTCTTCCCTCCCTCCTTTCTTCTTTCCTTCTGTGTCCCTGATGTATAATATATAAATATTTTAAGGAAATAATTGTTTAGATACTTCTAAATAAAAACATTCAGAGATTATCAGTTTAGAGTATGTATCAAGACATATCACATTCCTGTGATAATTAAACCAGTCAAAAGTTTGTTCACAGAGACAGGCAAGTGAACAGTGGCACTAATCAGAGGGCCAGGAAACATATCCAAACCCAGAGAGAAATTTGATTAACATAGAGGTAATATGGCATGTAGCAATGAGTAAAGGCAAGTATTCGAGAAATAATGCTGGGACAGTATTGCATATAGGAGAAAGTGAAATAGAACTCTACCTCTTCTTATTTAAAAAGATAAAATCCATATTTAGAAAAACAAAGTTTTATCTTGTAGAAGAAATTATAGGAAAAAAGTTCTTTTTATGTTGAGACAAGAGACTATATAGAAATCAAATTCCTTCACTTTTAGCAAACACTTAGGAGATCTATGAAACTGTTTTTCAGAGCTCTTTTTCCAGCAGTCACCCTGGCTTTTTGTCTCTACTGCACTGATTATTATCTGCTGTGCTGTATTCTGTATTCTACTTTGGATGAGAATCTCATTCTCCAGATCCCGGGGTAAGTGAGAAAAAAGAGATGCTTGGGACCAGGGCTGATTTATTGTCCAATAGGACCAGAATTCGGGACTCTTACCTCTTCTGGGACTGTTCTTACACCTTGGCTGTGAGGAACATGGTCCTTTTTCTCCTCCATGTTTACCTAAAATGACTCCCCAAGGAAACATCAGCTCAGCCAGGCCCTTTCTACATAAGAAATATCTAAATGTTGCATTAAGATTTTATTTTAAAAAAGTTTCATTATAGTTGGAAAGAATTTATACAAGAAGAAATAATAGTGAAGACAACAATATAAAATAATATTTCATCTAAAATGAATTTTCACCCACAAGGACCAATATTTTCTTCCTGGGTGGTAACACTCACTTTCCAGATACAGACTATAGTCTGTATCCCCCCACCCAGCCACCTTCTCCTTGATAACCTCCATCTCACCTCTACAGGGTCCTAAAATTCCACCTCTGTCTTCAGAGTGAGCAAAGCTGTTATCTTGTTTTGCCTCAGAAAAAGGCTAAGTGCGGGGACTGGAAATGGGGCATAAAAGGAGAAATCTAGGTGAGCTTCTGACTCCCAACAGGGTGAGGAGACAAGTTTGTCAGTACCTTTCATATTTCTTTTCTAACCACTTAAAATTCTTTGTTTTTCAGAGAAACTTCAGAAAGAATTGAAAGAACTAAGAGAACTAAGTAAGTAACTTGATATATTTGGAACCTTCCACTCCTAGCTTTAAATCCCTTCCTGTTCCACAATTTGAACTCTTTTCCATATCTTGTTGGAAAGAAAGATGGGGAAGACAATGAGATCAGCTGGTTTATACTTAGCATTCTTTAATAAGGAGCTGATTCTTAGATACTTGGGAACTTTAGGATAGGAATCAGAGCTTGAGAACAACCTAAAATTATTTACAAATTTTGTTTATTGGTACTTTTGTAGGGATAAGAATAATCATTTATGTGAACCCTCTAAGGGTATGTTGCCCAAGAATGTTGAAGTACCTCTGTAACATCACCCTCAGCTTCCCCCTGGTCTGATTATTTGAGCTTTTATCCAGGCCTGTGTCAAAAACTGACTATTCTGCTTTTTTATTTTAGAACAACACCTGGAACCAGGTAAGAACATTATCACACACAGAGATTTCCTCTCATTCCCTGCTGGGCCTCTGTTCTGTGATTTTGATCTTCTGTGTTTTTAGTTTCAGAGTGGTGAAGATGCACAGAAGAGCAGGTGAGAAGGGTCATTCTTCCCCAAGTATCTCCTCTCTCTCTCTCTCTCTCTCTCTCTCTCTCTCTCTCTCTCTCTCAATGAGTTCCTGTATTACAATTGCTGGAACAAGGACATAAGCTTTGTTAGCTTATGCTGGAACAAGGACATAAGCCTTTTCCATGCCAGCTCATTGACCAATAGTAGATAAAATCAGAATTTACCCCTTATCCCTGCATCCTTTGAAATCTGGAATTTACCGCTTATCCTTAAATCCCTTCAAGAGGCCAGTTCAGTCACACACTCTGTATTGTTCCCACTCCATTCCCTGCATTCTTTTCCAGGATTGAAAACCTCCTGGAAAGCTTAAAAACTTGTATGGAGAAACTCATTCTGCCTATCATGCCTCCCCACTCTGGACCCTTAGCCCATCCTAAGATTTTTAAGGCCCAGCCCACTAAGGACTGTACTGTATGCCATGTGTTCAGTTTGGCATGCTGGCAGTTGACTACTTTGCAAATAAATTCATTTTGGCTGTGAGTTCACATCCTGTCTCCTCTCTGTTCTGAATCCCATTTTCTTACAACAAGCTTGAAATGGGCTTTTGGGCTATGGGGATTTTGCATCTTCTTGCAGGCACACTTTGTAGAAAAACCTCATAAACCCTCATCAGATTTATCATGGAACCCTGGCCCAAAAGAGAAACTGCCTTTGCTCTCCCCTCCCTCCCTGCCTCCTATGTGAGTACTGAAATGAATATTCTTTTTGTTGTTTTCAGAATGGAAGGAAGCCCAGAAAAATGCAGATACAAGGGACCAGCATTGTGGCACAGTGGGCTAAAGTCCCAGCCTGTAGTGCCAGGATCCCATATGGGTGCCAGTTCAAGTTCTAGCTGCTCTATTTCAGATTCAGGTCCCTGCTAATGTGCCTGGGAAATCAGCAGAGGATGGCCCAAGATCTTGGGCCCCTGCACCTACATTGGAGACCTGTAAGAATCTCTTGACTCCTGGCTTTGTATTGGCTCAGCTCAGACCGTTGAGGCCACTTTAGTGAACCAGCAGTTGAAAGAACTCTCTCTCTTTCTGTCTCTATCTCTCTTTGTAACTTTGTCTTTTGAATAAACAAAAATAAATCTTAACCAAAAAACAATGCAGGTACAAATGGATGAATGGGTGACAGTGGACAGAGGCTTGGGTGAACATGGGAGAGGGAGCAGACTACTGAAAGACATGGGAGTTACTTAATGCAGGTTCTCATGAACTTCAGATAATGAATCTGTGATCAACCCCAGGGTACAGACAACCTCAGACATACTTCTCAACCTAGATCTAGAAGGTGAGATCTTCAGCCTGGGTGTCAATCACAGTAAAATCTCCAGGAAATTGAAGGGACTAGCTACTAGCCAGGAGAAAATACGTGAAATTGGGCAGGACCTGACAGATGGGAGAATGTTGGATAGCAAGGTCATCCAAACTCCCACAAAGTAAAATAAAGGGTTTATATGAGGGATAGTGGTAGGGTTAGGGTGATATTCAGGAATTTATGAGTTCATAGCTGGACTTCTCCAGGAGCTGGTGAGTACCTGGCCTGCACTGAAGATAAAGTAAGGGTCTGAATGGCCTGTGTCCAAAGCAGACTATCTCCTGGACTTCATCTAATCCCAACATGAGTCAGCATGCAACAGTTTGAGTCCCTCTCCCACGCAGTAATTTATGTTCTTTCTCTTTCCTTTGATTTGACCATTGAGTATAACTTTGCAGGGAGATACAACTTATCCACAATTCTATATTTCTGATCTTAGATTTGTAACCTATAAGAATAAGAGATGTATAAGGAAGTGGGTGGTGACTGTGGAGAGTTTTCAAGCAGGGGAACATTACTGGGAAGTGAGTGTGGTACATAATGAGCATAGTACTTGGGAGTGTGCTGAGAAGATTTGGACAGGAAAGCAAGGAATGTGACTTTATCTCCAGACAATGGGTACTGGGTCCTTGGACTAGAGACAGGACATTCATATTTTGTAATTAACCCTCACAGAATCAACCCCTTTCCAACACTCCCCCTTACATGAGTGGGGGTTTTCCTGGACTACAATGGTGGGATCATATCCTTCCTCAATGTAAATGATAAGTCCCTGATTTTACCCTGAAACATTAATTTAAAGGCTTATTGAGACCCTTCATCCAATGTGAGGCCTGTGATAAGGAAAATATGATTCCATAGCCATCTGAGGAATGACTACCATAGTTATTTTTGTGAAAAGACAGAGAATTCCCCTTCTGAGTGTCTCCAAACCTTCCCATGTAGGAAAATGAGAGCCCTCCTTACAAGTGACCATGGCATTCATCTGCAGGAATGACGCCCAGAGGGAATAATTATTCTCTCTCACCATTAGGCTACTAAAGTTTATTTCCTGGACTCATAGTCTTGCACATGTACCAACAGTGTTCCACTGTTGGTGGAAATGTAAGCTAGTATAGCCATTGTCAAAGATGGTATGGCAAGCCTCAGCAAGATGAAAATAGATCTACCATATGACCCAGCCATCCTTAGCCTGGGAATTTACCCAAACAAAATGAACGCAGCATATGAAAGAGTTATCTGTACCCCCATGTTCATTGCAGCTCAATTTGTCATAGCTAAGATATGCAATCAACCTGGATGTCCATGAACTGATGACTAGATAGAGAAATTTATATATATATATATGTGTGTGTGTGTGTGTGTGTGCATGTGTGTATGTATATATGTAGGAACATTCCTCAGCCATATAAAAGAATGAAATCCTGTCTTTTGCAATCAAATGAATGCATCTAGAATTCATCACACTTAGTGAAATAATCCAGCACCAAAAAGACAAATGTCGTATTTTTTCTCTGATTTGTGGTAACTATTATAGTACCAAAGAATATAATCTGCATGAATGAAATTGATAGTTTCAGATTTGATGGTTGTTTACAGCCCTTGCATTTACTGTTGAGAAGCAGTTTTATTCTTCTTAATATTTGGTGAAATCTTTTTTTAGTGTAGGGTTAATTTCATGACTGTAAAATAGAGTAGATAACTGTAAAAATTAAAGGAGGGAATCATAAAGGAAGGAAGAAGGAGTATGAGAGCCTGGAAAATATCACTATGCTCCTAAAACTGTATATATGAAATGCAAGAAACTTGTTCACCTTAAAAAAGTTTAAAATAAAATTCTTATGAAAAAAGAAAAAGAAGGACCTTTACTTCCCTTGGTCAGTGGGGAAATTTTCCAGTTACACAGTTGATTTTTTATCCACCAGCCCACATTCTGCAGTCATTTGAGAAAATATTGGAGTTGGGGAGGAGAGGAGCAGGAGAAGCCTTTTCCTCAACAAAGTCCATTTCCATACAAGGGGTGCTGGAGGAGATGGAGTGAAAATCCATGCCAAACTTACAAGCATATGGGTGAATCCCTTTCTGTTAAGGAAGAAAGCAAAGTAGAGCTGCTTTTATGGGGTCAGCACTGGCACAGTGAGTTATGCAAGCCTGCTGGACAGACAATACACATGGGCTCCAGTTTGATTTCTGGATGCTCTACTTCCCATTCAGATCTCTGCTAATGTGCCTGGGAACACAGTGGAGGACAGCCCTAGTCCTTGGGCCATGAACCCATGTGGGAGACCCAGAAGAAGCCCTTGGCTCCTGGCTTTAGCCTGGTCCCTCCTCAGTCATCATGGCCTTTTGGTGAATGAACCAGTGGGTAGTGGGTGGAAGACCTCCCTCCCCCAACCTGTGAGTGTGTGTGTGTGTAACTTTGCCTTTCAAATAAATAAATCTTATTTAATAAAAAATAACTGCTTAAGATAAAATTGTAGAAACAAGTGTGGACTTGGGAGATGGAGGATCTGACCTCTTCTTTCAACTTCAAAAAATAAACCATTTTCTGGAGGAGCAGCAAGATGGCGGAATAGGAAGGGAGCACACTGATAGTCCGGGGAGAGACAGTTTAATAAAAGTGGAGATACTGCAGGTTCAAGGAAGAATAGGGGAAGAAACAGCAGAAGAAACTCTTCCGGAACGAGTGATTCACAGTGGACCTGCGTGGAGAGCGTGGGAGCCCACAGTTCGGGACACCAGCAGCAGACTCAACACACCAGCGCTGGAACGCGAGGTGAGCCGAACCCAAATAGCCCGAGACACCGGCAGGCAAGTGGAAAGAGGAGACTAGAGGGAACGAGGCCTGAAACCCCGTGGGGAAAAGTTCACCAGGCTAACTAGAAGAGAGAGAAAGAGAAAAAAAAAAGTGACTGATACAGACACCAGTTTCTCTCTCTCCGCTCACCTCTCAAAGGCGAGCAAGACAAAGAGCAGGCGCCATCTTGGACATACGTCATAAGCAGGGCAACCTCAGGTCTGCACCGGCCCTGAGCCTAGCAGAAAAACCTGACTCTGGGCGGGGCAAATTAACAGGAGATTAGGACCTAGTGAATGTGTGGTGCTACTGAACTGAGACTGTGAAAAAAGAGACAGTGGGGGAGAGAACTCACGGAATTCACGTGAGTACTCTCCAGAGACACTACAATTTGGTAACCTTGGCAACCCAGTGGGAGACTGCAGGAGAATTTGAGCCCACACTGAGGGCAGAACAGATTCCCTGTGTGGTCCTTGGGAAAGAGCTTTTGATCTCTGGCTCCTGTGGGTATATCATTCACCTGCTAACTACCTCCAATTCTGTTCAGCTGTGCAGAATTACTTCCCTTTTAATCAAAAAAAGAAAGAAAGAGAGAGAGATCTACCACGCCTAACCTGGGAGTGTCACCTTTGGCACACCCTTAACCCTGAGGAACCAAACAGAGCTCTCAGGCCACAGCCATCTCAAGCCTCTAAGGCTCCATCAAAAGCAGACAGTCCACTTAATCTAGAGTCATAGTATAACAAGAAAAAACACCACACCGAAGAAACCAATGAATATCTCCAATATTCCAAACAACAAACGCAAAAACCGAGGTAACAAGAACAAGAAAGACACTATGACGCCCCAAATGAAATAGACACCCCAATTCAAGATTATGAAGATGATGAGATAGAAGAAATGCAAGAAGCAGATCTCAAAAAATTGATAAGAACATCAAGAAGTTCTCAAAAACAAATTCTCGAACTACAGAAATCCTTAATGGACAAGATAGAAAATCTTTCTCATGAAAATGAAATATTAGGGAAGAATCAAAATCAAATGAAACAACTAGTAGAACATGAAACTGTGATAGTGACGAGAAATCATAATGAAATGAAGAATTCAATAGATGAAATGACAAACACATTAGAGAGCCTTAAAAACAGAATGGGTGAAGCAGAAGAGAGAATATCAGACTTAGAAGACACAGCAGAGGAGAGTATACAATCGAACAAAAGAAAAGAAGAGGAAATTTGAAATCTAAAAATATTGTCGGGAATCTACAGGATACTATTAAAAAACTCAACATTCGGGTTCTAGGAGTTCCTGAAAGCATGGAGACGGAGAAGGGATTAGAATGCCTTTTTAGTGAGATACTTGCAGAAAATTTCCCAAGTTTGGAGAAGGACAGAGACATCCTAGTACAGGAAGGTCATAGAAACCCCAGTAAACATGACCAAAAGAGATCCTCACCATGACACGTGTAATTAAACTCACCACAGTGAAACAGAAAAAGATCCTAAAATTTGCAAGAGAGAAATGTCAGATTACCCTCAGAGGATCTCCAATTAGACTCACAGCTGACTTGTCATCAGAAACCCTACAAGCTAGAAGGGAATGGCGAGACATAGCCCAGGTACTAAGAGAAAAAAACTGCCAGTCCAGAATATTATACCCAGCAAAGCTCTCATTTGTGAATGAAGGTGAAATAAAGACTTTCCATAGCAAACAAATTGAAAGAATTTGTTGCCACTCATCCAGCCCTGCAAAAGATGTTTAAGATGTGTGGCACACAGAAACACAGAAACATGCTCATCAATATGAAAGAAGGTAAAGGAAAGAAATCTCACACCAAAAGATCACAGGGAATTCAAAGTGTATATTAGAAAATATCTTTGGCAAATGGCAGGGCAAAGTTACCACTTATCAATAGTCACATTGAACGTTAATGGCCTGAACTGTCCAGTTAAAAGACACAGATTGGCTGATTGGGTTAAGGAACAAAACCCATCTATTTGCTGCTTACAAGAAACACATCTTTCCAACAAAGATGCATACAGACTGAAAGTTAAAGGCTGGAAAAAGATATAGCATGCCAACAGAAATGAAAAAAGAGTGGGCGTAGCCATCTTAATGTTGGACAACATAAACTTTACCACAAAAACTGTTAGGAGAGACAAAGAAGGGCACTATATAATGATCAAGGGATGAATTAAACAGGAAGATATAACTATTTTCAATGTATATGCATCTAATTACAGGGCACCGGTTTATTTAAAAGATTTATTAAGGGACTTAAAGGGAGACTTAGACCCCCAATACAATAGTACTGGGGACTTCAATACTCCACTCTCAGAAATAGACAGATTGACAGGACAGAAGATCAACAAGGATACAGTAGATTTAAACGACACTATAGCCCAAATGGATCTAACAGATATCTACAGAACTTTTCATCCTACACAGAAAGCATTTACATTCTTCTCAGCAGTACATGGAACCTTCTCTAGGATTGACCACATACTAGGCCATAAAGCAAGTCTCAGCAAATTCAAAAGAATTAGAATCATACCATGCAGCTTCTCAGACCATAAAGGAATGAAGTTGGAAATTAGCAACTCAGGAATCCCTAGAGCATACGCAAACACATGGAGATTGAACAACATGCTCCTGAATGAACAATGGGTCATAGAAGAAATTAAAAGAGAAATCAAAAATTTTCTGGAAGTAAATGAGGATAACAGCACAACATACCAAAACTTATAGGACGCAGCAAAAGCAGTGTTAAGAGGAAAGTTTATATCAATAGGTGCCTACATCAAGAAATTGGAAAGGCACCAAATAGATGAGCTTTCAACGCACCTCAAGGATCTAGAAAAACTGCAGCAATCAGACCCAAATCTAGTAGGAGAAGAGAAATAATTAAAATCAGAGAAGAAATCAACAGGATTGAATCAAAAAAAATTACAAAATATCAGCCAAACGAGGAGCTGGTTTTTTGAAAAAATAAACAAAATTGACACCCCATTGGCCCAACGAACTCAAAAAAGAAAAGACCCAAATCAATAAAATCAGAGATGAAAAAGGAAATGTAACAACAGACACCACAGAAATAAAAAGAATCATCAGAAACTACTACAAGGACTTGTATGCCAGCAAACAGGGAAACCTATCAGAAATGGATAGATTCCTGGACACATGCAACCTACCTAAATTGAACCAGGAAGACATCGAAAACCTAAACAGACCCATAACTGAGACAGAAATTGAAACAGTAATAAAGGCCCTCCCAACAAAGAAAAGCCCATGATTTGATGGATTCACTGCTGAATTCTACCAGACATTTAAAGAAGAACTAACTCCAATTCTTCTCAAACTATTCAGAACAATTGAAGAAGAGGGAATCCTCCCAAATTCTTTCTATGAATCCACCATCACCAAGCCAGAAAAAGATGCAGCATTGAAAGAGAATTACAGACCAATATCCCTGATGAACATAGATGCAAAAATCCTCAATAAAATTCTCGCCAATAGAATGCAACAACACATCAGAAAGATCATCTACCCAGACCAAGTGGGATTTATCCCTGCTATGCAGGGAGGGTTTAATGTGCGTAAGACAATCAATGTGATACACCACATTAACAGACTGCAAAAGGAAAACCATATGATTATCTCAATAGACACGGAGAAAGCATTTGACAAAATTCAACACCCTTTCATGATGAAAACTCTAAGCAACTTGAGTATAGAAGGAACATTCCTCAATACAATCAGGGCAATCTATGAAAAACCCACGGCCAACATCCTATTGAATGGGGAGAAGTTGGAAGCATTTCCACTGAGATCTGGCACCAGACAGGGATGCCCACTCTCACCACTGGCATTCAATATAGTTCTGGAAGTTCCAGCCAGAGCTTTTGGGCAAGAAAAAGAAATTAAAGGGATACAAATTGGGAAGGAAGAAGTCAAACTATCCCTCTTTGCAGATGACATGATTATTTAGGGGACCCAAAGAACTCTACTAATAGACTATTGGAACTCATAGAAGAGTTTGGAAAAGAAGCAGGATATAAAATCAGTGCACAAAAATCGAAAGCCTTTGTATACACAGTCAATGCCATGGCTGAGGAAGCACTTCTAAGATCAATCCCATTCACAATAGCTACAAAAACAATCAAATACCTTGGAATAAACTTAACCAAGGACGTTCAAGATCTCTACGATGAAAATTACAAAACCTTAAAGAAAGAAATAGAAGAGGATACCAAGAAATGGAAAAATCTTCCATGCTCATGGATTGGAAGAATCAATATCATCAAAATGTCCATTCTCCCAAAAGCAATTTACAGATTCTATGCAATACCAATCAAGATAGCAAAGAATTTCTTCTCAAATCAGGAAAAAATGATGCTGAAATTCATATGGAGACACAGGAGACCTCGAATAGCTAAAGCAATCTTGTACAACACAAACAAAGCTGGAGGCATCAGAATACCAGATTTCAGGACATACTACCAGGCAGTTGTAATCAAATCAGCATGGTACTGGTACAGAAACAGATGGATAGACCAATGGAACAGAATTGAAACACCAGAAATCAACCCAAACATCTACAGCCAACTCATATTTGATCAAGGATCCAAAAACAAACCCTGGAGTAAGGACATTCTATTCAATAAA